AAGAAGAAAAAAGAACAACATATTTGAAGTTAGTGTTTGTCTTTTTAACTGTTGAGCGTTGGTTTGTACTTTATGGAGGCTTTTGTCATCAGATGAGGTGGATCATTTTTGTCCCAGTGAACACAAACTTGCAGTTCTTTAAAAATAATAATAATAAAAAAACTATAGAAAGGTCTATCAAAGTCACACAATGCCTGAGGCTGTTAGCAGCCTCCCCACAGCCGGTACAGTACCTCATACACTGATGATGAAAGCTCACCAGACTTGATTCAAGTACACTGACCTTACCTAAATGCAGTACGGTGCTTTGATTTAGCCGCGTGACTCCTGCGGTGGTCGAGCATGTGTTGGAGAGAAGCGGCTTTTCATTGTAGCACTGATAGTTGTAGTTTTTGTCTCTTGATCTTTCTGTCTGGATAAGTTTTTCCTGCGTCGCAGAGGGYCCCTCAGACCTCTGTTTCTCTTGTGTTTTTGGCTCTTTTTAGGCACAGGTTTTCCCTCTAAGCTGGTTCAGTTTCACTGCAGTGTTGCTAGAAATAACACCCTGAGGTGAAGCCTTTTCTTTTTTTTTTCTTCGTTCATTCATAAGGATTGGTATTTTTTTTTTTTTTTTTTTGGTTTTGTGGGGTGTTGTTAGGCATTAATTTTCAGTATCAGAAAATCACAACTGCACACATCACTGAGCGTGCACACTGTTAGTTATATCATACAGTGTTTGAATAGCTATGGCTTCCTTTTTGTCTGGTTTTCTCGCCATTTACACGGATTAAACGGTATAGTCTGGAGCAGTAGATTGAATTTCATAATATTCACTAGATCACAACCAGTAATACTAGTTATTAAACTGTGGTAGAAAAAAATATCCTAGCTAGGACTTTGAACAGGTATTGGAACTGAAATGGGAGGGAAATGCAAAGCATTAAAAGGCTTTTTGACAAGTTTGAAATAAAACAGGCCTGAAAACAAAACTTTCATGTAAAAAAATTGATCTGCTTTTGGGAAAAACCAGAGGTGATTCTAAGTACGAATCAGGCGTCAAAGGATTTAATCTGGTCCAATATATGCAGAACTACTGCAGTGTCTTTTTTTTTCTTTTTATCTTGTTAAATGCACAGCATTGCATGAAATTTATGCAGGTGGTCCGGTTTGTACTGCTCTTCAAACTAGCACTAATCTCTGAATTGTGGTCTTACCTGGATCCAGTTATAGTAACTGCATTTCACCATTTGGGAGATTCCTTTTGTTTCCACAGTAAGTTAAAACCCTAAAGTCCTACATTACCCACAGGCCAAAAGGCTCCAAACACCTGAAGGTAATCAGTGACTGAGCTGGTCGGACACGTGGTCCAACAGAACACGGATCAGTGTCTCTCTGGTAGCAGCCCAACTGTTGTTTTGATGAGTGAACTGTATTGCTGAGCAACATGGATCTGAGCAATAAAGGTTAAATGAGAAAAAAAAACATACATCATGGCTCATGTTTGTTTATTTCTATGTTTCAGCTCCTACAAAATAAAGGCGCATCATTAATCTCATTAGACATGATGTGAGAATGGAGTGACTCTGCAGTCATCATGTGCTGATAAATGTGAATTCACAGTACATTACATCTGAAAAATGGCTTTACAACTTTTCCACAGGGGGAAAAAAAGGCAAATATAAAAACTGTACTTGAAATAACACTTGACGCTGGGTATATACATGATCTTAAAAAGTGCAGAGGGATTCTGCGTCATATTAAAGCTTTACAGAATCAGAATTTAATACTTTCCTAAAACAAAAAAAGAACACAGCGAACAATTTGGGTGTGATGAACGGACCACAGAAATCCAAGTCGGTTCACCAGCAGTTAAATTTACCATTAAATTTGGCAAAAATTACACTTAAACACTTATTCTTTTTTTAAACAAATTTATCAGCAAATAAATCTGTCAAATAGAATAAAAACCTACAGTCATCATATAGAAAGGTGGAGGGGGTCCCATAACCTTGTCTCCTCAGAGGTGAAAATGTCAATGCATTGTTTGAATATAAAAATCACCAAAACAAGTCCATTTGAATAATAAACGCTGGGAGAGATGGATGGGATGGACTTAGCTTGGATGTAAGAAAGGGGGGCTTTAAAGAAAATACCACCCCTGATCTAAAACACTAAAACCACACACCAAAAACTCTAGATTTCTGTAATCTGCTCACCAGATTTACTTTGGGACTAATGATGCCGAGTATCTTTTATGCAAAAGTCAGGTCTCTTTTTTCTAATGCTATGGCCGACTAGTTTATATTTCCCAAACAAATCATTATTTCATTAACAAATAACATTCATATAAACTCATAAAAACAATCACCTGAAACCCTCCAGTTTTTTACAATCTACAGCGTCATCTTTATTATTTATATGAATGTTTCAGAGGTAGAATTTAAAGGTCAAAACTGCACGAGAGGCACTTTAAACACAAGCTGGTTAAACTGAAACATCTTCCTTAAAATCCCTCCTCACCTTAACAGTTCCTGTACATTCATACCTTTATTTACATACAGAAAATTATGTTTTTTCTGCATGTTGTGGCAAAAAATGAAAAACACCAAACACTTAAATCTCATCTGAGTGATTCCTGTCGTCTCCGTGAGGCCACAGGAGAGAGAAGCACTCCAACGTTTACACTGAAGAGTGAAAAGTTGTCCTGAAAAGTCGCCACTTTTAATACGTTTGCTCTTTGGAGCAGAAGGCATCAGAACACCAAAACAAACCCATCCGTGTGGCGACGAGTCACTGCACTTTCTTGTCCGCGACGAGTCCGTTCCGAGACGGAGCGTCCAGTTTGAGCCGCCTCTGGCTGAAGCGGCGGATGAGGGCGCTGGGCAGCAGAGCCACGCAGGCAATGGCCAGCAGCTGCAGGAGCCGCTCCCAGGAGAAGAGCTCGTCCAGCGAGGACACTTCGGACAGCATGACGCCCGTCTGCACGCAGATGAAGTTGTACGGCAGGAGGCCTGAGGAGGAAGGCGCAAAAAACGGCATCAAAAAATGTTAATGCACGAGTGTTTATCGTGCTGCTTTGCAGTTTGCAAATCAAACAGCTGAGGTGATTTCAACCACAGGCTGATCTGTGAGCACGTACCGATGAAGACCGAGCAGAAGAAGAACRTGATGGGGATGTTGATGATGGGCGCAGACATGTTCAGAAACCAGTTGGGAGTCATGGGAAAAAATCTGAGGAAGAGCAGGAAGAAGAACAAACAGTCCCGGTTGTCCTCCACCTGGAACAGGACAGAGACACGACGACACAGATGTGGAGGAGAAAAGCTGAGAAAATGACCTTGAAGCACAACAGCAATTGATAGTATGGCTGCAACTAACGATTATTTTAATAATCGATTAGTCGTCGATTAATCGATTAATCGTTGCAGCCCTAATTGATAGTAAATACATCAAAAAGAAATGAATAATTTAATAAAGATATAAGTCTAAAAGAAACTGCAGATTTGCTGCAATAAGATTTAACTTTCTGGTTTCTGTTCCTACTTTCTTGAAAGCAGTTTACTCGGACACACGGCCGTACCTTCCTCTGCAGCATGGAGACTCTCTCTGGGAAGAGATTCACGATGTAATGTTTCCCAAAGGCTTGAGACAGGAGGTAACACATGGTGGAGCCCACCGTGGTCAGCACACAGGCCAGCAGCAGCCCCTCATATGGTCCAAAGATCGCTCCCGCCAGAATGTTCTGCACAAAGACCTGCTGTCACTACACAATCTCACTTAAAGAGCAGCACAAGAGACATAATTAGAGAGTGTAATGGACTAATTATCTATCTGTGTCACATGTTCAATGTTATTCTGTTTGTCCAGACAACAGGACTCCGCAACGGACTGACCTCTCTTGTTTGATAAGACACTCTTTGAGCTGGGAGCCCTGTGATAGGCTGGAGAGTACATGGGGCGATCTGTGATTGGTTATAAGCACGCCATATGATGTTATCATGGTGTATATTATTGGCTGTGTCCGCTGACGTGTCAGCAGCGAGCCAACGRTACTTCCTTGATTAGGTCCCGTTTGTTTGTTGCTCAGAATTAAATCATTTATTTATGACAATACACGCAGACTTTTCAGGCATTATTCCAACGCCTTCATACCACGACAGATTTTGGCGTTGTCGGCAGGATGACAGCAGTTTGATGGTTTTTTTTTTTTCAGTTTGCACTCTTGGTTGTGAAGAAACCATTACAGCTTTGCAAACAAAGAAGAATAACAGTGACAGAATTGGAGCACATCATTTTTATTAAGCTTATTTATAACTGCAGAAGCAGGTCCTAAAAATGACATCAACAATTCAACCGTTTTTTTCTTTACTTATGCTTTTAAGGCAGCCATACAAGACAAACCCATCCATCTAGTCACTATTTTAAGACATGCATCATGCTAAAAATCTATTGTATGGTTCAACATTTGCACCATCGACATTTTTAATGTTTTTCCTCTCACCAGCAGTGATGATCCAGGGATAGCAAATGACTGCTTGTAGAGATACGCGCTGCAGAACAGCAGCAGGACATATCCAGTGTGTTCGGTTTTGTAAAACTGCAGGAGCTCAGCCAGTTCCCGCAGCTCCTCCAGATCTGAGGGGAACTTCAACCTGGAAGAAAATTCACGTTCACGTTAGACACAAAATGGCTGCATTGTTTACACACAAGACAAAACGTTTTGGGAAAACAAGAAAATAACATCTTTAATGTCAGCATTTTTCATTGATAAAAGTAGTAATATTTATTTATTGTACCTAATTATCGATCAGAAGAGACAAAATTTAATGAAAGACTAGATGCTGCTGAAAATGTAGCTTTTGAAAGTTGAATGTTTTGTATGAACAGAGAGGAAATAAGCTAACTGGTGGTGGTGCAGAATACAGTTTAATTTAAATGTATTTTATCCACAATTAATCGCTGGTTTGCTTCACACGGAAGGGGCTCATTTTTTGGCATAACACCGGTGGTGGGGTTACCTGCTGGGCTCCTCTGAGGTGTCACCCAACAGCTCGGACTCTTTCTCCTCCACATGTTCCGCCTTGGCACCTGGCTGAGTCCGTCTCCGTGGTCCGGGAGGGAGGTACAGTGACAGTGAATACAGATACAAGCTGGCTGCGGTCACAACAACAACCAGACCGGCGAGTGACCGCATATTTCCAGATGTCTGAAGGGTGACTTCCCTCCTGGGTTGTTGTGTTGTCGCTCCCACCGTCGCTGCAGTGACGTCATATCCCTGCGCACTCCAGCCAATTTCTTTTTTTTTTCTTCTTCTTTTACTGAAGTCAAGTTCTAACAATAGACAAAATAAATTTCAAAAGAAAATAAATTGGAGAAAATAAATGTAAATTAGAAAAAAAAAAAAAGACAAGGTAATAGAAAAGTCATTTTATTTCCCGTCCAGCAGGGGGCAGTAGACCTGCAAAGTGTTTCAACAAAGTACAGCATCCCTAGAAGGACAAAAACAGAGGAAAAACAAACGCTTTAATGTACTGTCGTTTCCAAAGTCCATTTGGTACAAAGACATAATTGCAGTGACAAGACGAAACATTTTTTCGACATCATGGCTTCGTACACTCGAGTTTCGGGGTCTGTCAGCGTGATTACTCTTCAAAACCCTCCCGTTAATGCACTAAGGTGAGATAAAAGTAAAAAAAACAAGCTGCTGAATGGTTTTACTTCTAATTACTTGTTGAGTGTGGTGCAACTTTTACATTTTTGTTACGCATGTCTTACTTTTCTTAATAAGACATGCATATGTAAGGTATATTTACACCCAAAATGTTATTAGCGTTTTTTTTTTTTTTTTGCTGAGATACCGTGTAAATATATTTCCATTTTTGTAAACCTAGTATTTTAATTTTCTAAATAACTGTGGCCAAAGTTAGTGCCATATTTTCCACATATCTAAGTAAACGATGTGAAACAGCAGACTAAATATAGTTTCTGTCTTTGTTTATAAAGAATACCAATTTTTCACATGTGTTTTGCTGAAGTCGACAAACTGAGGATAAACAAAGTCAGGTCATGTGAAAGAGCCCCCTGCTTTATTTAAAGAGCAGATATTTGTGAATTTCTGTTTTTTTTATTTTTTAGAACAAATGTTAAAAGAAGTGTTTGAGGGTTTCTGAGCATATTGCAGGAAAGTTGCCTGTCAGCATGGAAGAGGAGACAAAGATCATTTGTAACCGATTCTGCAGATGAAGAGGATTCAAAACGTTTAGCTTCTCCTTGAGAGCCACTATCCTGCATTAGGGATGTAAGAAAATATCGATACACTGAAATATCGCGATATTTCATTTCCCGATACTGTATCGATATTCTAAAGCCCTGTATCGACTTTTTTTTATTAAGGTTTAAAATGTCAACTTTCCTACCAGCCGTTCATTTTTGTGTTGTAGTTCAGCCTCTGACCACGAGTTGGCAGCAGTGAGCCAGCCATTTGGCTCCCCTATACCTCTTGAGGTAGAGGCTATTGTTAAGTGTTGGGTGACCATATTGTAAATTRATATTAAAAACTAAAAGCTGCAAAAAATATATATTTTCAAACTACTTATTGTCAAATTTAGTCTACTAATTGAAAACATGGATGAAAAAAGAAATATGAAACAAATGAAATAAAACACATACAAAGCAGAACACAGCTAAATGTATCAAAAGTATGTCTATGTAATATTAGAATTTTCTGAGACAATGAATTTTGGTTTTTCATTTTTTTCCCCTGTAAGAGGTTTTTACTTAATAGAATTTTTGGACAAAAAATTTGCAATATATYGCCTTGCTTACAGTATCGCAATATATCGGGATATATCGTATCGTGACCCTTGTTATGATATGTATCGTATCGCCAAATTCTTGCCAATACACAGCCCTATCCTGCATGTTGTATATGTTTCTCTGCTCCAACACACATGATTTAGTGATTGAATTATCACTCACACACACACACACACACACACACACACACACACACACA